CGCGGCTCACTTTTGAAGGAAGTCTCGTACAAAACGCTCGTTCTGGAGACTTCCGCGGCTCACTTTTGAAGGAAGTCTCGCACAAAACGCTCGTTCTGGAGACTTCCGCGGCTCACTTTTGGAGGAAGTCTCGTACGATACGCTCGTTCTGGAGACTTCCGCGGCTCACTCGTACGAAGCACTCATTTTCATTAGCAAATGCTACCTTCGAAGCACTACCGAATGATGCGTGTTCCAAAATGAGCCGCGAAATTGGTCTCACGCTGCACGTCTGGGTTCCAAAATGAGCCAGGTTCCAAAATGAGCCGTTTCTAGGTTCCAAAATGAGCCGTGTACCCTAGTCATAAATAGTCACAAGAGGCATATGACATGCTCATGTTGAACATCGGAGTGCTTGCTCTCAGGTGGGCCAGCTCGGGCGAAGGCCTTTGCAGACCGCATGGAACCGCTGAACGGCTTCTTGGGGCTTCTTGGGGCCGAAATCCACTTCCAATGGATTTCTCTCTTGGATCCCACCATCTTTCGGTTTCTGGGGATGAAGGTGAGGATCCCAAAAAGACTCAGATGCTTGGACTCTCTTTGGGTCTCTTTTGGATCTTTTTGGGCTTTGACCGGGTTTGGATGGCCATGGCCATGATCCTTTTAGGCTCCTTCGCCAAGGGCTTCGCCTCCACGGGACTCTGCTTCCCGCAGGCCGCGGGACGTGGCTCCAGGAGCTCCAGGCCTCCTGGGCCGCCGGCGCCTGCGCGGCCAGGCCGGTGCCGGCCGAGCAGCGGCCGGTTCCGAAGAAGGCTGAGGTGAAGCCGGAGGTGGTGGGGAAACCCAGGGGCGAGTTGGGGATGTTGCTTTTACTACGGCTAGTTCTATTATATCATATCATTTTACCACCTTTGTGATTTCTGTTTCTATTTCTTTTGCAATTTTGATGACACGGCTTGAGAAACTGGGCCACGGGTAGGTGGAAAAGCACCCTTTATTTTCTTTAATTTGTTTACGTTCGAGGGTCTTGAATGAGTCTGAGCCCGAGTCGCCAAATTGACATGGTGAAACAGGTGTTAGGCATCCGGGGTGTAGGTGAAGGTCAGAGAAATTGTTTCACTTCAACGCTTCCACGAGCCAGCTTGGAGGTTGATAGTCTCACCCCCGACTCAAGTATATACTTTGTACCTTTAGTATCAGAAAGTGAATCCACCCCACAAACCGTTATTCTTTTCAGGACCCTTCAAGTGATGGGAATCAGCACCAGCATCAGCATCCATATTCAGTTGAAATCTACCCAAAAGGTCATGAAGACCTCTTTTCCAAAAGAAATACTCTGGAAGAAACTCCTCTAGAGTCAGTAGGCTTCCAAGTTCTGCATATTTCCTCTTGTCAAGCCCTGCAGACCCTGGAGCCCCTTGCAGTGAGTGCTACACAGAGAGATGTAGGCGCGTCAGGACCCGCGTCCTTCCAGCCGTCGATTCGGTGCATTTTGGTCGTACCTTGGTGTAGCAACACCAAGCTCATAGCAGAAATCCCATTGGGATCCTGTATGTTCAACCATGGATTTGAGTGCATCTCCAGTGCTCGTCAGACATGGCGAAGGGCGGTCCGCAAGTCTTTTGACCCGTTCGACCTTAGCAGCTGCGATGACATGTGGTCAGGCTTGGTGCTGACGCCCACCTACTTCCACTTCAGGACTGGCCGGACTGGGTGACCAGGATGTAAACCGTTTGAACCGCAAAAGCCAGTTGAAAGTTTCAACAAATACATTGTGAGGTGTCTCAAGCATCTGGTCTTCATGCCTGGAAAGAAAAACAAGGTTTTTTGGGACTGAAACAGCCTTGCCGTGCGGTTGTTGCGCCATGCAGGAGTGATGATTGAGGTGGTCCGAAGCGAAGCTGGTGTTGGTTTGGGTTCGGCTGGTGAAATGCCCGGCAGTGACCTGCATGGTGAGGTGAGGATGAAGAATTCATGTGGACCAGCGGCTAGCTGCTAGCTGGCAGCCAGTTTGGGGCGTGGGGAAGAACCAAGAGACGGAGTGCAACTCCTTTTTTTACTAGACTCCGTGATTGCACCGAAAATCGGTGCCTGTCCAGCTCGGCTCACCAGCTAATTACAGGAATTCATCAAGAAGAATGCATCCAACCAAATCGCACGCATCAACTTCTACGTCAGCGATTGTCAAGACGGTGTGCCTGAATCTCTCCAAGTGGTGGTTTGCCAAGAACAATGCCCCTTGATGTTTCATTCCTTCGAGAGCCTGCCTTGCCACGAACATGCAGGGGAACTGAGACAGTTTGACAACTGCTTCAGGTGGAGTCATGAGCGAGATGTCTTCGACCTTGACTTGACCCGCGACTTCCGACTCCTGAGCAGGCCGAGCATGTGTGTGCCAAGCGCGGCGGATTTGGCCATTCCGCAAAGATCGGAGGCCAACAGATCTGTACAATACAAACGTGTGTCCTTCAGCTGCCTGCTTTTGTAGCTCATGGTAAGCTTTGCTACACAAACTTCTTCGATTCACAAGGTCTCACAACCTTCTCAACCACCTTCACTTCTGACTTTGAAAGACTCTTTAAGGGGGCATCAGATGGTAGTAGTCGAGGCATTCCAAGCAGGCCACGTCGTCGGGCCTTTGGGGCCTCGACCCAGTGCGCCTTGACCCTACACTTGGCTGGCCCATTTTTCGAGCCACGAGGTGCTTCAGGTTGACCTGACGGTCCAGGCGGTCCAACGCCCAGCTTTTTGTCACCCCCATTCGGCTCGGACGAAGTGATCCCAGACAAACGGTCTGAAGCCGCCGCTTTGGGACGGAGACCGGCACACCTCGGTCGAAGATCGGGGGCCGGGGGGTCCTCGGTCTCGCTGCCACACCTCGGTCGAGCTCTGATGGTCCTGATGGTTAAGATGGTCAGCTGGAGGAGATCATCAAAACGGGGCCCAAACACAGGAGCCCTGCCCAGTGCGTGGAGTCTCGGAGCTCTCCCAACCAGTCAGATTGACAGAATCAACTGGTCCCTCCGCGCCAGTGCCAATGATCTGAGAAAAGATGGGGGAACGGAACAATGAGTCGCTTTCGTTTTGAAGCGAGGTGGGCGGGGAGAACACTGTGAATTGCGGGCCCTCCTAAGGATGAACAGAATAGACCATAGTTTCATATGTTTCATGCAGATTCCTGGCAGGCATGGGGATGTTCTTGACTAACTTCACTAAGAACCACCCAAACCTCTTGTGCTGTCTGGGGGGACTTGAACCAAGAAAAAACCGAGTGCTCACGACCCATCACCCTGGTGATTGCACGTCACCACCAGGGAGACACTGGTTTCGAGGGGAATGGTCAAAGATCAGTTCCTGGAAGCTAAAACCTGGAAGCTGAGTCTTAGGAAGTGCAATGGGAAGAAAACGATACAACATCACAGTTGAGGAATTCCTTTTCAGACCCTTGAAAAGCGTGTGACACCGTTTTTGGTTCTCGCTTTGAACCACTCCCAATCTTCCCAACATGGTGCAGAGATGTGCAGACTACTCCACACATGGCAGAGGTTTCCGAGAGTTTGTGATTCCTACACAGGTCCGCGACACAGGTTTCCTCGCTACTTCTGTCCGCCACGCCATTTGGGCTCGGACTGGGCTGGGGACAGGTCTTCCTGCTTGGACGAACGGTGTGGGCCGATTAAACACCTACCCTGAAGGTGCCTTGGACTCGAGAAGGGGCGAAGGTGATGTTGGTTCTTCATGAGAACGAGCATAGATGGTTTTGGGAAGGCAACGAGCATTCTCCCTAAACCGGCTCCGTTTTTTATTGGCAACAAAAACCTTTGAGATGTGTAGTGGGCATGCAAAAGAAGAACAAAGCACTGAAAACCACTGTCTTTGCTTCGTTCCGTAGGAAGCCCCCTCTTTTCTTCGGGTTTGGTCACCTGGTCGAAACCTTCCGTCCCAGGTTGAGGTCTGTGGGTTCATGAAGCTCTTCGGCACTCCCAACCGTGAGGTGCCGGGGCGAGTCGTGCCGGGCACGGCGCGTTGGTGGTTCTTAAGAACGACTTCTGACGAACTGTGAGTTGCGATGCGTTTTCCTGGATGTAAGTAACTGTATACGTGTATTCTCCATGCTCCTGTCGGCACTGCTCACGACCAGACCAATTGGGTGGTTCCGGCCCGAATTGGGCGCTCGGTCCACGAGCGAGCTGGGCGGTAATCCGGCAGCTCGCTGTGGACCAAGGATTTCCAATCACTTTCAGGATTTGGCGACGGGTGAACAACTTTCATCAGGGTGACTTTCCAGCAAAACAAAGGCTCCAGAAAAAGGATCGAGTCGTCGATAGAGATGCACTTCTGGTACAAACGGAAAACACATGGGACCCTCATTGCTCTTGTACACCAAAAGGTTCCTGGGACCCTCTCAGATCCGTTGGTCCTGTTGGTCCTTTGCTTTGCCTGAGCCGAACACCAGAAGACCGGGGTCACGTGTATTGGGCAGGACCAGGCCTTGGAGGCCAATACGCCGAGGTCGGGATCAGGTGCGCAGCTGGAGCCGGTGGGTCCTTGTTTTTGTTTTTTTTGCATTAGCTGCATTGCTTTCTCTTTGCATTATGATGCATTCTTTTTTTCAAATGTCTTTTGGTTCTTTTGTGTGTGGATGTGTTCTATACCCCGTCAGCAGATATTGGAAACCGCTGAACTTGGAATTTATAGCAGTTCTCAGTGATCAGCCATGCACAGACTCTGTACAGAAATGATCAGAAATGCATAGAAATGCACCATTTGGCCCCCGACACAGAGACAATAACAGAACAAAGGTCTACTTGGACATGTATTGGAGGGTATTGGAAGCCTTGGGATGAAGACTTTCAACCTCACACTCCGCCCTAATTCCACCGACCCTTGATAAGGACTCGGGCGGGGTAGAACCCCGTTTTTTAAAAAGAACTTTTTGTAGGTTTTCAACCAACTGTCTCTAATTGTTTTGCTGAACATCCTAAACAAATCCAGCAGATGAAGAATTCATGGAGGACTCCTGGTGGAGACGTCCTCCGTCTTTGCCCAGGTGGCTCCCAGACGTCGAAGACTTCGAATGACAGCCCAAGCTTTGGGCAGATGAAGCTGGTCATCAAGAACACGTTTATCGGTGCCTGGGAGTGAGTTCTTCAGCTTCGCCTGGTCGACGGGTCAAGACATCGGAAGTCAAGCAATTGGGCCGTCAGGACATCGGAAGAAGACATCGGATAGGAAATGACCTCGGCATGAGTTTGCCTGGTTTGGGAGTTTGGCCGACATGATCTGACCTCATCGGTTTGCCTGGTTTGGGCCGAACAGAGGCACACTCACCCGAGCACCCTTTTCTAGGTGGTTTTTGTAGCTTGGCCATTTAACGGATCGTGGATCTCTTGTGAATGCCGATCCTGACAGTTGCTTCTTGTTTTTCTTGCATCTTTTTGTAGGCAAATTGACTCTGAAGTGTGCCATGTCCACGTCTGCTTTGTGGGAAGGCAAGACAACGAAGATTCGATCCGGATGCAGACAATGCTCTCCATTTAACAAAATCCCAACTTGCAGGAAGTTTTAGTTCTTAGTTCTTTTCCACCAAAAGAATCGCACAGATGAAGCCCCAAATGATCCCCAAAAGCCTTACAAAACATGGGGTCCCTTTAGTCCCTTTTCCTTTTTTTCCCCACCAGATGCCATTGCCCGAGAAAAGGCCGCTCACCACGTGGCACCCACTAGCGCCGCCTCGCGACACGAGGTGGCTACGACGAGGCCGTGGACGACGACCCTCCGAGGACCTTGGCACGATCGGCGAGCGACAGCCACTCGGCCGAGGACGGAGGGCGTGCGGCAAAAGGAAAAGGATCACCGCATTGGAGCAGGTTGGGTAGTAACTGACCCAATGAAATTAAGAGGTTAAGAACAGGCGAGGTCTAATGAGTCTACTGATTTCTATCTCGTGGTTTCTATCAGATCTTGGGCTTTCCAGACTCATTTTCGAGGGACTTGTCTCGCTTGGAATCCGACCTGTAGGAGTAGAGCTGTGTGAGTGCATGCTGCTTCGCACATCCATACTGTATAACACAGTAAGATCTATTGAACGTTTCCGTTTGTGGACCATATAGAAACACTTTCCAACACATGATTGAAGGAGATTCGCTTGATTGTACAGTCTACAGTACCTCTTCACAGACCACAGAATCCGCGACCCTTCCGTCCGACGTCTTCGGAGCCCAAAACCGCTCCGCCTCTTGTCCGGCAGTGCGACCGCGCTCTACACCGAGGCAAGCTTGATTGCCAATCCAGTGCGAGCTCCGTGGTCTTTTGGTATCCTCAGCTGCTCGGCCGGACGGCCGTCCGCGGACGGCCGCAAGCTGTTTGGTGCGAGGCAAGGAGTGTGTGCCCACAGGAATGAGGTTGATGGTAGGAGGGTATGTGATGGCATGTGACTCCATAACGTCGAACCAGGCACATTGTTCTAATACCACACTCCTTAACGTCGAATCAGGATCTTGGGCCAAGTGCAGAACCAAACACCGGAAGGCTAGAACATCACATTGATGTCAGTAGATTATTTCCCATGAAGACCCCTGAACTGGGCTTGGTAACTCGGGTTACCCATCGGATGCCGATGCAGCGATTCGTCCAACCAAGGCGTGGCGCGGGCTCCATGAGCCAATCCTCCAGCAGGGGACGCCTGAGTCTCCATTCCAAACGAGTCCGGAGGGAACGAGTGATTGACATGTCGATGACCGCACCGATTGGTCAGCCTCTTGGCGACGTCTTGGGGGATTTATCGCAGGCCTTTCAACCTCTCCGGGAGCCTTCGGTTGCTCCCAAAAAACCCCATCGGTTTCATTTGCTCCGGACCTCCGGCCGACCCCGGACCGGGGAGGAGAGACGGCGGACCCAGGCGTGGCCTCTCGGAGCGACGCCGGGGATGAGAGAGACGAAGCCTTCGAGCCTTACCACTCGGCAGCTCGGTGAGGGTCGTGGGAGACGAGGGGGATGAAGAGGGGCAGGACACCAGGTGTTGCCAGAACTTTTGGAGGTTGGCATGGGGTCTTTGGAAGGTTTCCCCCTGAATCACACATCCATCCCGTGTCCACTCACTGAGCTGGAGTCTAACTGCCATCTTGACAAGAGTGCTTTTGTCAGCGGTGAACCCACCCCAAAGAACAGACGTAGAACTCTGTAGCAATGTAGCACGCCTGCAGGAAAGACCCTTGATGATCTGCCACCTGCTCAGGAAGCGTTCTCTTCCCACATGGCTATGCCGCACCTTGGGCTTGGGGGGGTGGGTCGTACATGTAGCGGTAGCCTGACTCAGCAGCTTGTAGGGTAAGCCACTGTGATATCCAAGATGCATTAAGTATCATTCAGTTCTAATTTCTGGGTACCTTACAGATGTCGCCAAACCGCGCTTTTTGACTCACGCTGCTAGTATTTTTTTCCACGGGGGTGGACAGTCGCTTTGACTAGTTGGATGTGATCTGGAAAGCCAGAAGCAGCTTGTGCCAAAGAGGTAATATGATATCGGGGACTGTTTGAAAGATGCCTACAAATGCAGCTTTACGGCTGCAAGAGGCTGTGAAGGCATGTATCAAGAGCATAGCTTTTGTGAAGCCCAACGCATATTTCCAATGTGCATAATGTATCCCTGGCCAATTGGACTTGGCTGCTCGAATACTTTGACTCAAGTGAAGAAGCAGAGGGGTGCGGCAAATATGTGTCCCTTTAGTTGGGACATTCCCCTTAACCGTCCGGACTCCTGAGTTGATTGCTTTCAATCCTTCACCACCTGAAGTGCAGAATACCTTTGACTGACAGAGTTTTGGAGGGTTTCGGGTGGTGTGGGATTTCTTGATGCATGTTCATGCCAGGGAGACATGGCATGTGCCAGTTCTGTAAGGTAGGCATACCCTGAACAAGCACACTCTGCGCCTGCGGGCGCCTGCGGCCCCAGGTACAATCAACAAGATGTCCCTCTTCACATTCCTGGGAGGCCACTGATGCTAGGAAGCTGGGGATGGAGAGGCGAAGGGGTGAAGATCGCCAGAGCTGGAAGCCTCCGCTGGCAGAATAGGAGGGCAGCCAAGTATGAAGAGTTCAATCAAACTTCAAGGGATACATGATACATGTATACCAGGGCCTTTCAAAGGGTGTCTAATACTAGCCGTTTGGAGGAGGTACGGGGTGTCCTTTAACCACCCCTTGTGGGTCCTGGTATATATATATAATTATTATATAAATACATATGTAGTTTGTCAACACACGTTGTCAACCTGAGGGGGTGTCATGGGGCGTTTCCACAACCTTCCCCCTTGTTTCCCTTGGTAGTCGTGCACGCCCTAAGCTTAATTTCCCAGATAGCGTGAGCTATTGGGGGTCTTACTTCAAGCAAAGGAAGATGCGTGTGTGCGTTTTCGAGCCTGGGTGGGGTGCCGCTGCTGTTCCAGTAGAGGAGGAGCCGCTGTGTGGGCGTTTTCGAGCTTGGGTGCTGGTGCCGCTGCAGGGTGTGGCTTCTGTGTGCTCTTGGGTGCTGCAGGGTGCCGCTGCTGGGGGTGTTGGGTGCTGCTTGGGAGCTTGGGTGCTGGTGCCTGCAGGGTGCCGCTGCGAGATGTGTGGCGGGGTGCGCTTTTTGCTGCCACAAAAGTATTTTTGCTATATGGGGTCTGTGCTGGCGTAATTTTTGATGTAGGATGTAGCTCTGTGGCTGGGCTCTGTGTCCAGGCCTTGTCTTCCTCTTGTCCTCCTCTTGGCCGTGCCCCTGAACTCTGTGGCTGGGCTCTGTGGCCCAGGCCTTGTCCTCCTCTTGTCCTCCTCTTGGCCGCGCCCCTGAACTCTGTGGCTGGGCTTTGTGGCCCGGCTCTGTGTCCGGGTCTTGTCCTCCTCTTGTCCTTGTCTTGGCCGCGCCCCTGAACTCTGTGGCTGGTCTATGTGGCCCGGCTTGCTGTAGAGGAGTGTGGCCGAACAAATAGCGATGTCAATGCCGACAAAAATTCATGGATGAAGCAGTTTGCTCTTGGGGTGAAGGTAGGGCGTACCAAGAAGTCGTTTTTTGACTAATATGGGTCTAAACGAATCGTTTTGAAGCTGTTTGGGGTTTATGCCGGTTTCACTTTCTCACGAGTCCAGGATTCCAACCAGGTCTGGCAAATATACACATACAGTCAAACACACATACACCAAATTCAGAGCGGATGGCGCAAATCCACGTTGACCGCGCCGAACATCTGGATATATATATATATATTTATATCATATATTTGCATATGCATATACACATAAGCCATCTGTTGGGACGGCTGAGAGACCAAAAAGCTGGAATCACCACAGCCGCATAGTGTTGATAGACTATTCAATCTGTGTGATGGGCCCAACGCAAGCAAGGCACGTTGCCCAACAAACACTGTGGAGGGTGACAGATGGCTGGGCCATGCTGGGACAGGCGTTTGATCCGGCAGCGTGGCCCGGAACATCTGAGGCCAAATCAAATGCCCCAGGCGCCGCTCACAGGGCGCTGGAACATCGTTCCTCTTGGGATGTGGGGATGTGGGTGACCACCCTGTGAAGCGAATTCATTGCAACTATAGTCACTAGTGTATTGAATACTTTGGTTTTTTCCCTGCTCAGTTTAGTTTTGGATGGTGAACCCACAATGTTAAGGCGCAATTCCGAGATTTGTTTTCGGCCCAATCTAAACCAGACGTGGGCACCAGCATGCCATCTACAAAATCGCCACGAGTGAGGGTCACGAAATCAACTATTCAAAGTGGAGTGGCTCAGAAGGATCCGCTGAATCCACAGTTGTAGGTCTCAAATGATGTGTCCTGCACCCACCCATGATATAGAGTGAACGTTGTCTGTTCATTTTGTTGGCCGATACATGGTAGGCTTCGCTACAATCATGCTGCTATAGTGTAGGCCCAACAGCCCGATTGTGGTGGGATTTTGTTTTCCAGTCTCTTCGTCGCTCGGCTCCTTTCGTCCGCAGGACGTCCTGGGACGTCCTGGGACGACACGGGCGGTTCAAAACCGCTCGACTTGGGATCCTAGGTGCCCGTTCCTGCACAAATGCCCGGGGGGCCCGTTCCGGCGCGCGGGGATGGGGACGGAAGAATAAGAGGGATGTCAAGGGATGTCAATGGAAGTGTTGGGGTTTGGGGAGCACCATAGAGCACCAGATTTTGGAGATTCCATGGTCTATCATGGTCTTTGACAAGTCACTTGGATCATCTGAAAACAGATCTCTACCAGCCCATTGGGTGCGACCCTCCAGGTGCACGGTTCTTTTTCTCCGTAGGTGCACTGGTTTTCACCCTGCCGAGCTGCCGAGTTCGGCACTGACCCAAGACCGAGAGATCACGCCCTGCGTGTCGTGGATGGGGTCATGTTCATGGTGTCTCACTCACGCAGGGCTTCAGGGGGGCCATACTGGGGGGTCGGAGGTGGAAGCCAGGTGGGATGCGGCTCAGGCGTTCGTGGTTAGTGGGCTGTTCATCAGGTGGTTGGGTGTTTGGATTATCAATCATCTTCTCAACTGAGAAGTTTTGGCTAGCGGCTAGCAGCTGTTGATGGAAGGAGTTGATATAAAAACCAGGCCGTGGGTCGGAGTCCTTCGATCTATTCCCCATCTCAAGGATTGGATTCTCGGATCGCCCAGGCAGATGCCACAGGGCTACGGGGGCTTGCAAAGGCCGAGCATGCAGAGGGGTTTGGTCCAGCAATCGTTTTTGTCTCCTGCTACGACCCGGACTCACAACCTCTCAGTTTTCAGACTTTTGTCGTTGATCTGAAGTTTGTGTGACACTGAGGGATCACCTTCACCCAATGGGTCAACCAGTTTATATATCTTCTCTTTGACAGTTTGACAATCTTTGACCAATGTTTTCTGATGCACAGGTCTTGAGCCACTCTCGAATTGAAGTACAGGTGTAGGTGAAAACCCACTGTACAGTAAGTGTGCTGAACGCCCCCCTTGTGCCAGCAACCATGGACCATCAGGATTGGACGGTACTACCTTCCCGACCCTGCGTGCCTTGTGCGCATCCACCAGGGATGCCCTCCCACGCCGACCCCCCGGAACCTTTGACCAGTCGGGATCCCCAGACATGGCTGGGCCCAATCGATCGTCGACCGCTCCAAACGCGGACGGGCCAGGCTCGGTGAACGGCGGCCGAGTCGGGTGAGTGGAACGAGTCGCGGGCGCTGGAGATGGAGATGGACACCCCACCGGTTTTCAGGTCTTGAACATGGTCACTGAAATTGAAAGGAGCTGGAACTGGACTCTTGGAGGAGCCCGGCATGGATTTTGGGGGGAACGGGTTCTCGGGGAGGAGCTACAGATCATTCGCCTCAAAAAGAACAAGCTGTTCAATGCTTGCAAGTTAAATCTGGGAGTCTTTTTGTCTTTCGCTCAGGAACGAGCCCGGCGCTGGGTTTCCAATGGTTGCCCAGGTTGCCCAGCCGTCTGGACGTCAGGATGTGGGGTGGGTGGTGGGCGGGATGCCCTAAGTGATGAGCTAGTTCAACGAGATCGCTCCGAGTCTGCGCCGTTGAGTCGCTCAGTGATCAGACGTGGCGAATGTAAACTGCCGTTTTTTTGGGGTTGTCCGTCAGAGTCTCCGCCTGCTCTGCCCTGGAGAGCAGTCTATCTTGTGCCTTTCAATGGGAGCCCACAAAATCACTCTTTGGATTTCTGGTTTGCCAGGGATCCAACACAGGCGGACCGGCGGGTTTGACCGTTTAAACTCCCGTTTGGGCTCCGGGTCGATGGGTTTGGGCTCTCGACCCATCATCCCGACCCCGACCCACCGGGTGTTCCGTCTGGGGCGGACCGCCGCGCCCCAAGGTCAATGCCACCGCAGCCCGTTCGGGACTTTCGCCCGTGGGGAGACGTAGGGATCGCTCCTGACGTCGGACGGTCGGGAGAGGACGGACGACGCGTCGGACGTCGAGCCCAGGCTGATCTCCCTGGTTGGAGTAGAAAGCCCCTCAAAATTATGAAGCAGATAGGATTCTTTTGGTGTTTGTGTGAGATTTCGTCCCCACGGGTATTTTTACGGCTCAAACATGGATGGTGATGGTGCATGTTCTGTAAACAGGGATGAAAGGGTCAAGCAGGTGCAATGTATGCAAGGTTGCTCTTGCTCATGCAATTTGAGGTGGGATGCCCACCAAGAAAGCCATAGGCCTCGCCAGACATTTTCCATCTCGCAGAATCACTTCAAAGAACTGAGAGTAGTCTAGTGGCGTTGGGTGGAGAACCAGCACGCTCCTCAAGAAGTTCGCCAATCTCCACCCCATGGTTGTTAAGTGCGTACCGTAGACACGATGAGACAACCCACGACTTGATTTATACCTCATGACGGGTGACATTCCTTTTTTCAGTGCCTGAGAGGCTTACCCACCGGTGGTTCGGCGTGCCTTAGCTGAGGCGTGAGGAACCCTTAGAGCCGATGCCGCGGTGCGACTATCCGCGCGGACAGTCTTGCGCCGACGCGGTGTTATAGAGCCGGTGAAGCTCTTGGACCAGCTGGGCCCAGTGTGGGGAAAGAAACTACCCCAGGAAGAAGAGAAAGAACTAGAAGGTGAACGCTACCAGTCTTTTTGGGTGTTTGGCGTGGACACAACGGCTGGCCGACGCCGACGCGAGTCGGGTGTTCGTCGGGTCGATCGACGATGTCGATGTCGCAGCGAAGGTCTGGGGTCTCAGATGGTGTCAAACTACACTGTCCAGGCATACCTCTTGAAGGTTGAAGCTTCGGCAGGCATCGTTCTTTTAAGTTCGAGACCTGGACCTACCCGAAAGGCACCCCCAAACATGTCAAAAGGCGAGGGTCGCAACCCAACAGCACTGGTGGTCAAACTGGGGGGATGCGACGATGCGACTTGGCCTTTGCTTCTCACCATTTCCAGCACGAAATCGCGGTCCACCACACTGGGCAGTGTGCTGATGACTTGGCACCTCGTGGGAGCACGCTCGATGAAAGCCCGGAGTTTGGGGACGTTAGCGTCCCGCGGGGGTGTAGCTTTGCCACTTGGTGAGTTCATTCATGCAGCTGTTCCTCATGTTCCTCGTGTTCCTCGCGACGACCTGCCAGGTTGACACCGCCACCCAACTTCGACTCCACCGGGTGCGGGCGGGCGCCGGGAGCGGGGGAAGTTTCATGGAGAACTTCGATGTCAGCAGTTCTAACATCTCAGATACAAGGAACGAACAAATCAAGAAGAACGAACAAGGACATACACCTGATGAGGAGTGAACTAAAGACAACCTGCAGCATCTCTCTATTTTGTATTCCTAAGTCTCTCTTACCCTTACCTTATTATATTGAGGATGCTTTTCTTTGCTCATGGAGGTTACCGACAGGAGGATTGTACGACAAGCAAGGGGGAAGTCATAGATGGTCAAGAAACAACAGGAACCAAGCCAGCCCATCTATGAGTAAGAGCCATTCTTTTTTCAATCAGGATTTCTATTGTCCCTGGCCAGGTGAAAAATGGACTTTGCTTACTAATTTTTCGGACGTGCCCAGTCTCACAATGGATGTCTTAGTTGCTCCATTTGACATGTCTATTTATGCCAATTGGCCGGGAACGAATGAAGGTCCGGGACCTTGGACCTCTCGGACCACGGAAGCCGCTGGCCGCCAGCTGGTGGTGCCGGTCGTCTGTGCCTGTCGTCTGTTGGGAGTTGTTTGTAGGTCGACTAAGATCTGGCGGTCTCGTGTTCTCAAACAAACAGCACCAAGGATCAGGACCTAAACTCCCAAGCACCCCAAAGGTAGGGTTGGGCATCCTAGGTACTGGTTTCATTCAGTGAGAGAGAGAGAGAGGGAGAGAGAGAGAGGGAGAGAGAGAAAGGGAGAGAGAGAGAGGGAGAGAGAGAGAGAGGTGTGCAGAGCACGAGAGACCGAGATCTGCAAGACCTGCAATTGTTATACAAAGAAAAGCTCCGACGCCATGTTTCGGGGGATCCCTTTGCTTTTGGCTTCGCCAGGAGCATGGCCCCCCTGAGTATGGGCGAGGGTATGGCTCCGCGGAGTCTTGGATCAATGATGCCAAGTGATGTTCGTTTGATTTGGGCGTCAATCTTAGTTAATAGGGCAACACCGAACCAATATGTTGTGATCTGTCCTTCTTCCAGGGGGTCGGGACGCCTGGGTGGTCTCCCTAATCCGGCGATGCCGTTGCTACCCTGGGTGCGTCCCTGGCACTGACCCTGATTTGTACAGTGTTTGTTGCGTTTGACCTCGCCTGCATTTCTAGATCTTGAGCGACTCAAAAATCGGCAAAAGGAGAAGCGCATCAAAATCCTTGAATTGGGTGGGGGAGATGCTTTTTTTTCCACAAAGAAGGGTAGAACAGATCGCAAGACAGAGGGTAAACATCGACAAAAAATCATGGATCTGGAAGGGAGCAGAATTTGGGCCCTTTGCGGCCGGTTTTGGGCTCTTTTTTTGGCACGCGCCAAGGCGCCAAACACGGTAAATTACAGTGTGTTTGCAAATTTTCGATTCAGAAAACTGTGTTGCAATGCTGCAAAAACTGAGTAATAGCGACCTCTTTGGAAGGTGCGTGTGCGCAAAACACTGTAAATACATCGTTTTAAAGCAAAACAATCAAAAAGCCTCGTAAACACCGCGGTGTTGAGCACTTGATAGCCTAAAACGATCTGTATTTGCAGTGTTTGCTGCCGCAGAAGTGCACAAAAGTGCGCCTGCGCCCTGTCAATACACACCTATTTTTGTTTTGGTGGCATAGAAGGCAGATCTCTCAAGAATGGATGATGTGGCAAAGCAATTGGCAAGTCAGACACTTCCCATATTTGTTCGATGGTTGGAATGCCATAGGCGGCTGAAGAAAGCTTGATCATCTTCGTGTGCAGGGTCTATGGCCCACCCGTCCTTTGGTCCATGGGACATCATCTTTCAAAGCGACAAACGGGCTTCTACATGTGCTTTCGGAGATGATGTAAGATGATGAAACGATGAACAAATATGATTATACATATTACACATCATGGCGCCAAAGACAAAAACGCAACTAAGACTATAAGAGCTGATGCCTGATGCTATGTCCTGCACCAACATCACTGAAAGATGAGCTGTTTGTGTTGTACCGGATGAAGGTACCACCTTAGTAGGACTGGGAGGAAAAGCAGGTCTTGGGGTTCAAACATGAATTTCAAGTGAGCCAGGTTCAGTGAAGCAACAGTCTTCATGAGTTTACACATTTGGCATCCGAAGGCTATGCATTTATCATCCAACACTGGCTTTGCTTTAACCTTCGAGCTGGCACCCAGTTGAAGTACAAACAAGTTACAAGTGCATCCCTTGTCCAGAAGCCACCCGTAAGTTGCTGTGTTTTCAATCCTTCAAGCATCCGGCTTTCCTTTCCTCAAAGGCAAGCCAGCCGAGGTCCACACAGGAACTGGAGCTGTTGAAGATGCGTGCCAGCAAGATGCAGGTGGGGCTGTCATTTACAGTATTGGGCCGTACATGACCCTCGTGTCCCTCAAGCGACGAGAACTAAATATTGGAAGTGAGAACCTGACCTGACGGGTGATTCTTTTTCCTTTGAAAATGGGTAGCTGACTATGACGCTGGGGTGTAAAGTTAGATAAACTAGATATACTTTCCAGTTTGTTTGCGCGCGGTTATATGCCAAACTGTGGGCATTGGGTGTCCCGTTTGTTGATTGCAAGTGTTGAGCAAGACGCCACCCACCACTTGAACTGATCTTTTCCGATCGAGCCAGACTAATTATGGAGAAGAGATCTGACACCGAAGCAGTTGTTCACGCTTCATACCGGAGCTCCCGATCCCCACCACAGGGCTGACTTACGGGTCACGGGTCCCGCAGCCGTGGTTCTTCGACGCTGCACCCGCAGGTTCCGTGTTTTCGCCTGGACGAAGCGTTCCGAAAAGGCAGATATATCCACCGCAAGCCTGTCCAAATATGCGCTTATCTGACTTATCTAGTTTTATCAACATTCAATGTCGTCTATTACATTTACATGAAGCTGTCTTCTGCTTCTGTCTTTGCCTCTCGGGCTAGCCGCTAGCCTACATCCTTTCACGATTGATCTTCCTGTCGACCTCCGCTTTCGCGAAGGCGGAGGTGGGAGGTCTTCAGCCAGGGGCCCTGGTGGAGCGAGAAGTGGAGGCTTACATGACCGAAGGACCCTGGAGTCCTACTTGCGAATCCATGTAGGAGATGTTCCACTTGCCACCACTTTTTTTCATCCCAACAACCCATATGATTCGCACTCAGCAGAGGTCGCGCCGGTTTTTATTCGGCCAAAAGCCTCTCCTCCAATTGGAAAGCATCACATCATGCAAAGATGTACGCAACAAAATCCTGCTGCAGCCGTCCTACAGGTGTATCTATTTTGGTTGGGGGGGCTATGTCGAACGCTTCCATCTCACCCAATGGGAATGGGACCTCTGGATTTTTGGCGGGGCCTTTTTGATTACTACTAGTAGCAAAGACGCTACGAACGTAGCTCTGGCATCGCTACTAGTAACAAAAGGGCATCGCTACTAGTCTACAAGGGCATTACTACTAGCAAGGACGCTTCACCGGTGGTTTTGCTGATGCTTCTACCGGGCAAACCGAGCGGACTCGTGGACTCATAATCCCCGGCTTCCTCGAGCGTTTCGTTGGAGGGTTCCCCGGCCCACCGGTGTGGGTCACGGTGTCCGGTCCAACGGTTGGTGGATGCCGGCCTCCCTCCGCGGTGTTCCCAATGCGGGTCAAACATCTAAGAGATTCCAAGCCCGCAACAGCCTGGTGGCTGCACGGGTCTGTCATGCTGCCTAGGGTGACATGCCTGGATGACCTGCTGCGAATCAACACGGGATGTGAACTGAAACGAAGATGGTTTGGAGGGTGAAGCAGCGAAGCGCCGTATCATCCAGTCTCTTTGAGTTCGGGATGGACGACTCTTACGCTTGGAGGCTTAGAGGAACCCTTCCACTGTGACTAGTATGGTTCAAGGATTGTTAAGACATGTTAAGACACATTTCACTCTGGAAGGCTTACCTACTACTGCAGGCAAGACATCTTGCACCACCTGGGATGTGACAAGTCATTGCTGTTGCTGTCTCTCTGGGGTGCCTTTTGGGAGGCATGGCACATTGATTTGGTGCTTCCATCACCGAACGACCTCCACTTTGCTGCACGAGCTCAACCTGAGGCCTTCTCAGTTGGCACAGCTGCAGCTTCAGTTGCAGCTTCGCTGCAGTGGTGGATGGGGGCACCAAACACCGTTCCAATGCATTGGTGGTTCATTTTGAAGACCGAATGCAAATTGGACAAGGATGGAAAAGGGACGCTTTCGCCATCGCAGGTCAAACGACTGCTGAACAGTGTCTGAACCGGATTCGACCCAATAGAATAGATCTACAAGCGACCCCAAGCAGCGCCCTTTTGCTTCTGGTCCTTTTGTAAAGGATGCGGGTCTTCCGAGAGCGTCCCACGGACACACGGACGGAATCCCACCAAGTCACCGGGATGCGAGGCCTCAAAGAGGCCTCAACGGACTCAGGTGGTCTGCACTTCACCATTCTGCATACTTGTGCATGTCACACTTGTAGCAAGTCACCGAAGTCACCTGTCTACCAGGGGCACCACTTGTGTCGAGCCGGGATCGGCGTGGATCGAACAGTGAGAACGGACTCGTCCAAACCGCCGCTCCGACCTCATCTGTGCCATCTGCGACGTTCGAGGCAAAATGAAATGATGCAAACCACCAGGCAGGGCAGTTTCAGATGTTTCAGGAAATCTCTCAACGACATCAACGGCGACATCGCCCGCGGACGGGATCTGATTTCGCTCCACGATCGATTCTTGGGCGCCCTTATAGTCTCAGGAGACCCTAGTAGCATCCTTGCTCCTAGTATTAAGGCCAAGAGCCCCTAGTAGCTTCTTGTTCCTAGTAGCGATGCCAGGAGCCCCTAGTAGCGTCCTCTTTTATATCTTTTATAATACACGGTGCACGTCATATCTTTTTATTGTTATTATTGTTATTGCTATACACGTCTTCACTGCCAGTCGCGGCTGTGTCAGACATGAGATTGCCAGTTGCGCAAAACACCAGGCTCGATGCGCCGCCCATGAGCATGATGCCAGGGGGAGTGCTCGGAGCTCGGAAAACCAAAGGAGCTGGGAACGGTGGGGAGGGGGAATCACCAAATGTTGGTCCAGAAGTGTTGGTCAATAAGCTTCTTGTTAGTAGTACTGCCCTTGTTACTAGTTACTAGTAGCGATGCCCTTGTTACTAGTAGCGTGAGAAAATTAGACTCCACCATGCATTCCAAGAATCATCTCCAAAGTTTATAGAGTCATAGATGGCTTCTGAAATTATGGGAGGTGACCGACGAGTGGTACAGATAGGACTGTGCAAAGTGCAGGTGCTCTGGAGGTGTTACCTCCAAGTCGCGACAGAGAACTATCATTGACACCCGAAAAAGCTCCTACTTGTAGTAGCGTCCTTGTTCCTATAGTAGTAAGGCCAGGAGCCCCTAGTAGCGTCCTTGCTCCTAGTAGCGATGCCCTTTGTTCCTAGTAGCACTTGGGCTAGTTCAATGTCTTGCGTGTCCTGTAGATTACTGTAGATCTTTTTTCAATGATGCGCACGATCACCTGTGACCTTCATGCAGCCCACCCGAATCCGGTCGGCTGCATTGTTCACGGAGAAGGGCCCGATGCAAAGATTGATCCCTGGAACGTGAGACGCCCGCCTTCCTGTTTGATCTTAGGAGAGTATATGGAGACATGTCCTGGAGTCCTGGGCATGTCCTTGGTGTCTGTGAAAAGTCGTGTGGACATGTGTGGCACTCATGTGTGGCGCTTCTCGAACCCTCGCCGAACGCAGCCAGCGGCGGGGTGGAGTTTGGCGAGCAGATTTCTGGATATGATGAGGTTCACAGGCTGGGTTTAAGCTCTACAAGAAACCCACAGTTTTTTGGGGTTGTAACGGTTACACAGTTACACCCATGGTTTCTTGATTTCTCCATAAACCAATCCATGGAACCAAGGCTCAAACCTGCTTCCGAGTTTTCCACGGCCCAGGCGGGGTAAGGCACTTGTTCCTACTAGCTTCTTGCTACTACTAGTAAGGCACTTGTTACTAGAAGCGATGCACTTGTTCCTAGTATGTGGATGGATTTTTTCTTCAGACGGTCCTGGATCGAAGGACTGGGGATTGGTGGTGAAGATACTCCAGCGCTCTGGGAGTCCACGACCATCAAATGGTCGGACGAACGGTGACCGGAAGTTCGGAAGTTCCTTTTACTTTGGTGGTCCCAAACAAGAGTCTCTGGGCTTCTAGGGGAAGGATACTTTTGTATACCGTTCATGGTTTCGAAGATTCTCGTCAGCTGAACCTGGGATTTCTTTGGGTGACACCCTTGGTGCTTATTGAGAGCCAGGTGGGATGAGCCAGGTGGGAACAGCTTGAAGAAGAGCCGGGGAGAACTTGAGCCATGCACTTTGACAGTTTTTCAATCACTCGGCTGTTTATTTGCACTTTATCCTTCAGGGGGTCCTTTCTTGGACAAAAGAACCCTCTTTGACCACTTCGCGACAGCGATTTGTGAGGCTTCTGCGGACAGGCGAAGTCCGTGGGATGGAAGAGGTGATTTCAGGATCGACGGATGTGCCCTCGAGTTTGGGTACCGTTGGGATGCCTCTTTGGTTCAAGAGTTTGCACCTGGTCTTTTTCTTAATCCATTTCATTACTTCAGATCAAAGAGGCGGCGCCAAGGGCTTTTCTCGATGTGGAATGTGGATTTGGCTTTGACAGCTTATTGCCAGCGCATGACCATCCCTAGTAATTCTGGGATTTTTGCATGCATTTGCCGCATGAACTCGAAACATGCACTGATGAACACAAAAGGTTTGGCAGAAAGGCAGTGAACCTTTCATCGTTTGGTCGACCCTGTGGACTTCAACCACGACTCCGGTTCTCAGCCGAATTGGTTCTCAGCTCGTTTCAGCCCCTTATATAAGTCCAGTCAAGCTTCAAGTCGCCCAGGGCGAATCGACCTGCAGCGCTGGAAGAAGCGCGATTCAACCGGGTCAGGGCCGGACATCACTCGGAGGAACGAAAACGGTGGTTCGTTTCGGAGGCGCCGCCGCAACGGCGCGTTGCGCCATGTTGCGCCCAAGCGGTGTCAGGTCCATGCAGTTCGCCTCTTCCGATGTGGCCCAACAGCAATTGCGCCACCAGTTGATCGAGTCCCAGTCCCTTGGAGCATGACATGGCCGCTTTCTTGTTCCTCCCACGCGGCCATGGCTCGGTTTGCATAAGACCGAACGGCGTTCTGGTTTGCTGTATGGCTGCAGAGATGCTAATACGGCACTCAAATATTAAAAACAGGCACCTGGCCTTTTTGGTGGTGAGAAATCAGAACTATCAACCAGCTTCGTTATACTTTTTCTTCGTTCATTAGGCACTCGGTTCTTTGGAAGCACCACATTATGAGGCCACGAGCACATGTCGTGGGGTCGGGCTCATCCACTGATTGAACCCCATGGATCCCAGGCCTCGAGTAGTGGTCTACGCCTTTGCGTTTGGAACCACTGGTGACCTACAATCTAGAGTGGTGACTGCCTGGATCGATCGAAGACATCGTCAGTCAAAACCAAAAGCTTTGCACAAATCCCTTGCGAGTCGAATCCACTGCGAAGACTAGTCATGACTACTCGTACCCCGAGCTGCCCGGGGTCAGCTCTGAGAGACCGGCGCTCAACCCGAGCCGCGGATCCCTCGGATTCCCTCGAATCCTGGAGCCAACGGTGGCACACCGTGGTCCCCCCTGGAAGCAACACCGCGAGGACAACGAGAGTGACCACGAGGTAAGCAGGAGTGACAACAAGGCCATGCCATCCACGTAACCATGATTGTTTCAGGGAGTGTGGTTGGGTTAGCAACCGAGAGAAGAAAGAGGAACACCAAATGGTTTCCTGTTTTGAACCATACCGGACCATGGCTTCTCCGAGGGCGCAAGGGGCCAAGGATCGCCATGGAAGGCAGTATTCTGTGGAGCATCCGGGCATTGATCGGGATGGTAGCTAGGCAGTACCAGCTAGGTCTCAACTTTGTCATGCCAGAGTGTGCCAGAGAGATTGATTCGGATCTATCCACACACATACACAATAAGACCTCTTCCGTCGACAGTGATACAATAGACCCAAAGTGTGTGTTCCGATGTGGTCTCCCTTGACTTGACCCCCAAAATTTTGTGGGTGAAAGCAACATGGATGATGTGCTCTCCGCATGGCACTTATGAGGCACTTACTTGGGATATGGATGGATATGAACCATTCAGAAAGGCTGCCGCAGAGCTGCTCCAAATTTCACCACCTGGACTTGGACTGATTCAGAGGCTTCATCCCACATCTTACCGGTATTAGACCGTCATCGGTCTTCGGCGCAAACAGCCCGTTTCTTGCAGCATAGCCAAGGATGCAGCAGGTCCAGTTGCAACAGCAAATGCAGCAGCTGCAAATGCGGCAACAGCAGCTTCAGCAACAACTCTCCACGTGTGAACCCCCAGGACGATCGTTGGGACAAGCCTCTATCGGTCCCCGGTGTTGATTTGGGTCTGTCGCTTTGGGGGAGGTGTTTCATCCAAACGGTCCCATGTGGTTTCTGTGGGTCACACCAAACGATGGTCCCACTTTGGGGGGCAACATCTCGGGTCGCAAGGTTCTTCGTCTGTCAACCAGCGGTCTTGTCTATTTAGAAAACATCTATCTGCTCACTACGGTCACTTGGAGTTTTGTGGACTGTTTGGACTCAAGAAGATGTGCTTTTGTGCACCCTTTGAATTTGAGCACCTGGACTGATCCACATCTCCTGTCGTGGGTCGATGTTTCCCATGAAAGACCGCAAGGGGCGTGGATTCAGACTCTTGAGGTGATCTCTTGGTGGACGTTCCAATGCACTAGGATGAATCGATGTCTACATATTATTAAAGAGTATATATATATATACTATTATTTTGGTTTTGCATGGAGTTTGCGGATTGCAAACAATGTGTCCACAATACATTTCATTAGCCAAAATGGCCTGCCATTTTGGCTCAAGGATCAGCCCCTGATCCATCAAAGATCGAACTTTTGCGAACCTTTGCGACTTTCGCTCTTTTGCTCTTTTCTGCCTTGTGCCATGGCGGAACTTTTCGACTTCGAACTTTTGGACTCTGCGGAGGATTTTGTGATCCTGGGACCGGATCCTATGGAGCAGGAGGTGGCAGCCGCTGAGACTGCCCAGATTGCGGCTGATCAGGATGAGATGGCCATTTTGGCCGATTACGTGATCCCTGCGGAAGACCCCTGCGGACTTGGAGCGGGACTTGGAGGCTATGGTGAGCGGCATCACCTCTCTCTCCTTGCAGACCCCCCCTGGACTGGCAAGTCCTACTTCGGCTCCTCCCCCTACGGCATCCTCCGTGGTGGCTGTGGACGCATCGACGGTGCCAAGCAGCCGCAAACGCCCCTTGGATCAGGGGGACGACGCGGGAGTCCCAGCAGGTGCCTCGGGCCCTGATACTGGGATTCTGTCAGCGGGCCCCTCTGAAACTGGTGCCTTGGTTGGGGGTGACCATTCGAGAGCCTCGGCAGGTGCTTCATGCCCTGATACCGAGCCTCGCCCGGATGCGTCATCCTCCTCCGTGCCGGCCTCAGGGGCATTGTCGCTGCTGGGCAAGCAGCTGCCGCCGGTGCCTTCCTCGACTTTGCGGACAAGCCTGGACACTGAGGTTCCGGTTGAGCAGCGCTTGCAGGATCCTGTGACCTACTCCTTTGCCGAGGACGGGAACATCCTTTTGACCAACGTCATGGCTGGCCTTCCCTGCCTCCCGAAGAAGTTGGCGCAGCCGCTGCGGAGCATCCAGGTGGGTGAGATCGTTGAGCTTTGCCTCAAGTTCGACGTGAGCAAGCTCACCCCGCCGGCCTTTGCCCGCATTGTTGAGGGCACCCTACGCATTCACTGCCTGGGCCTCGAGGAGCTTATCCGGATGGGGTTCAACCAGATCCCCTGGGATGAGGCTGCTGTGCGAGCACTCCTCAACAAGTTGCGCGACACGGAGGCTACCCACACCCTCCGCTGGTTCTCCAAGAGGTTTGGGCTGCTGGACGTGGCCTCCCTGGGTAGGCTCCAGGAGAAACGCAAAGCACTGCAGGACCAACTGACGCCCACGGTGTCCAAGCCTCAGCGGAAGGCCATGGTCCCCTTGAAGGAAGTGATTTGGGCACTGGAGTGCGGCGCTGCGGGGATTCCCCCCCCCACTGCTCCGAGCCCTGATAAGGGGGGAATCCGAGGCATGGAAAAATAGGTACAATGAGTCGTGGGAGCTCTCAAGACAACATTTGCTTTGGTTCTAAGTGCAACATCCAGCACCCGCCCATTTTTCCTGTCAGCAAAAGAGCACAATAATACTTCGCAGACGTTAAATAGCAAGGCTGTTGCTCCAGTTCCATAACTGGACTTGAAACTGGAGAACCAGATGCGGAGCGCGATGCCAAGAAACTATCCAGCAAATCATAGAGATTAGGTTCCCTCTATACCAGGCAAGCAAGCAGGTAGGGCCGGGAGAAAGCAACATATTGATCGCTGAGAGTACATACTAATTGCTTGTGTATTGAGCGCGCAGAGTGTAGAAGGGTTAAGTCTAATCCAGCGTGCCAATGTCCAAAGATAGTGTTGTTTGTGTTTGCACAAGCACAGCAAGCAGTGTTTACGCAATTCTTTTTCACCTGTCACATCGAGTTTCTTTTGCGCACCCCGCTCCTTAGGAGACCGGGTTTGCGCTCCAAAGTAAATGGCGTGCGCTTCGCACGCGCCTTCGGCCTTGGAGCTGCTGCTGGACGCTTTTTAGCTGCTTCTGCCACCAGCTCCTTCTCTGTTTTTCTGCGAGCTTTCAATGGCAAGGTTGATGCTTGTTGCGCCATGTCCGACTGCCAGGTTTTGGCTGACCATAGAGGATTTCCAACTCGCTGTGAGAGGACATGAGAGCTTGGCATCTGCTTTGCTGTGGGGCTGTGCAAAGCAATGTTGTGGGCCAATAGTTTGCCCAGCTGCTGGATTTGCAGCTTTTGCACCAATGTGCTGCGGTGCATCTGCTGAGTCTGTCGATACCATGAGTTGATTTCTGCATGGAGTGCTTCGTTGGCAGTAGTGCCTGAAGGCAGCAGCAGACGAACTCGATGTGGTAAGAATTGCCTGTACCTCAAGTTGTTGAAGAGCCACTCCAGCTGCTCTGCACTTGTGACATTGTGTAGGAGCTTCGCCAGCGTAGTTTTAGTCCCTTCGATCTTCCGGCCCATGTCGGTTCTGTGAAGACAGGAAAGTGCAGCCAGTGCCTCCACAAACTGAATCCGTGTAGGCCAGACCTTCAATTCTTCACAAGAAGCCAGTATCCGCTTGGAACGGACAACTGCCAAGGAGCTGTCCAGAATGTGTTGTCGCAACATTTGCTCCTCACGAGATAGGGCCACGCAAGCTTGTCCTTCAAAGAATGGTCCCCAAATGTTTTGGGTCACTGCTTCGTCGTGGTTGGTGAACTTCACCATGAATGACCGAAGTAGGCTCGAACCTGCAGACTTTCTTCCTCCCAGCCCCTGCTCATAGTGCATAGCCGTATGTGTTGGGTCTAAAGACAAGGCCTTGAGGTTTGCGCAGACCGATTTGAGCTCAGAAAAAAGCTTCGGTGAAGGATTGTCGCTTGCAATATGTTTCACTTGCAAAAGTCCAGGCGCTGAAATGCTTTTTTGAAGACACGCTTTGATGTGGTCTGCGCCTTCTCCACAAGATGGCTCCAGGCAAAGCACTGCACCGCTTCTTCCCCGCACTGAGAGAACACGGGTGTAGCTGTCACTTGCCGGAAAAGGATGCTGGTCGCGTAAGGCTCTTGGGTCTGAAAACCGACCCTGCCCCATCAATGGCAAGCATACCTTGAATGTTCCATCAATGGACAGGTACGAGCACTCCTCATGCGCAACAGCTTGGTCCAGGAGATGATGACGGAGTTTTTTGCAAGCTGCTGATGCGAATACGTCCTCAACCACAGGCCACCAACACGCAGTGTGGGTGGGCAGCATTGACGCCAGGCTGTTGCCAGCTTTTGCTGAGTCAAGCAAAAAACGAGGTACCAAGGCAGACACCTGAGGGGTGCTTAGAGCAGTCACTACAAGGGTTTTTCACCTTCATAGCACATGCTGTGCGACCATTGAACCTTTTTCATCTCCCCGCGCCTTGGCATGGTTCAAGAGCATTTCTTGGAAGATCCGCTCAGCGAAGGAATGTGTGTAGTACATATTGCCAACTCGACGCGCGCTGCGAAGCGCTTGCCGATGCACTACCCTTGGACCTGAAGCATCCAATAGAAACCGAATTTCCTTGTCGACGGCGTTGTTCTGCGGCGAAAGCATTGGCTTGATAGATCTTCTTAGCAGCGTGGCGCTTCGCTTCAGGTAGTTCCCTTGCCTTTTTTCAGCAATCATGTCTGAGTCATGGAGAGCAAGAATGATTTTGATCTGCTTTGTGCCGGAACAACAGAACTGACGCTTTGCTGTATGATACCGAGAAAGATGGACAGCCAGACGCTTGCAGCGGTCGAACTTCCGGAAGGGGCACGCAGGGCATTGAAAAGCACCGCGTTCGGCTCGGAATTGTCCAGCCTTGGCAGCTTCCATAAACTTTTGCGCCTCCGTTTGCAAATCACTCAACAACACCTGGTCGGTGATCACACGTCCAGTGTCATCTAGCCAATCAAAGCTTCCCTTCTTTTCGGACACCTCTGGCAGTAATGCTGTGTCCTGAGCATCGTCTGTAGTGCATTCTTCATTTGATTCAGAACTCCCTGCTGCTAAGTCCAGGAGGTTCTCAAAATCGGACATACCCACATCTGTATCCTTTTTGCCGTCCTGAAGTTTGAAAATAACACACGTGGCAGCATCCACACCACCTAACAACGCTGTCTCGAAGTCAGCTACTGCTAAGTGGAAGACACCATCTGTGTCAAAAACAATCAGCTTGTCTTCCTCGTCCTGCTTCACAGCAACGCAATGTGGGCTGCCACCATTTTCGGAATGTAAGAGGAAGTTTCCTCGAAAATCAAAAGACTGAGTGCACAAGACGGGCGAGAAGGAACAGTGGAACATATTGGAACATTGCAGATATGTGCGACATCCACGCTGTTGCATATATGCATTGTCTGGGCATGCTTCTGTCAACAGTGACACCTTCTCTTCCGTAATGGCACCCAAACTGGCCAAAGCGTGGGGAATACAATTCCCTGGCACACAGTAGACATGATCTGTGGGAAAGGGAGCCCTCTTCGCACACGCAGCAGCTTTCTTGATCAAGGCATTCACAGTCTCATGTCTCTTCTCTCGGATTGTGACCTTGAAGCCAGTCTTGTCCAGAATGTAGGATGCACTTTGCTTGCAAACTTCTTCAATGGAGACCCCCTGCAGAGGTGATATGCGGACACCATCAAAGTGTAGTGACAAGTGGGTGGGTGAAAAGGTCAAAAGAT